CTGCACACAAGAGACTAGGGTATAGGAAGTCATATAGTTAGAAACAGAATAGACGCGGTTGAGGATAGAGCTAGTTGGCTAACAATAGACGTGTTTGATCATATTTGGGGAAAAAATTGGGTTTTGAGGAATCTCTTGTTTCATAATTGTTGAGCTTACTTCCACTTCGAGTAAAAGTGTTTGGTGAATAGATTCGAAGGTTGATTCCACCGAAAAACGAGACCAGATTCCATTACTGCTGACGCTGTTTACGAGGTGATCTCCTTCGATTAATGTGAAAAGATTCTTTCGTCCGTCATATGATGAGCATCATCAGAGCAAGGTATCATCGTCACTACCGAATTCAAACTAACGAGTCAAGAAAACTCACCGGCAAATCCCTACAAAGGGGTATATATACTCTATATCTGGCTTCTTTGATCAGGTCTAAAGTGATTTAGTTAGTTACAGTCATATGTAAACCTCGAAGCCTTTGAGTGTTTCTTTAGGCCATCACTGATGGTTTCGTGCATAGGCGAGCATAAACAGGCACATACACATACAGAGACGGACACACTCACAGGTTGCGGGGTTGAAATGTGACCGTAACTTACCAAATCACTTTATGACTCATCAAAGAGTCCAGATATAGAGTATATATAGAGCTTTTTAAGGATTTGCCTATGAGTTTGCTTGACTCGTTAGCTTGAATTTAGTTGTAACGACGATGATACCTTGCTCTGATGATGCTCGTCATATGACGGACGAAAGGTTACCATCTTTTCACCGAAATCGAAAGAGATCACCTCGGAAACAGCATCAGCATAAATGTTCCAGTAAAGCCAATCGGCAGCTGGTCAAGAGGAATCCGCTGTTTTATCATAGACGTGGTCCATGAAGCAAAGGCTCGACCATGAGACTTTCTCAGAGGCTTTAGCCTCGAATTAGTCAGACGCAGGGGATGGGTAATAACCCCTGGAGTAGCACATATGGGGTGGCAAGGGTCGAGTAAAATACTTGAACCAAGGAGATAGCAGACGGATCCTACAGGGCAAGAGGGAGACTTTGATAAGACTTAGGGAAGGAAGCTGTATAACAATATGGCAGACTCTGAACAACATTCCCAGCACAAGGGTGAGGGGGGTGAGAACTCCAGCGTAGAGTGTGAAGGGTTCTCATAAAAGCCACTCAAAAGGGCACACCATAACACATTTTAAAAAGCAAGTAAAAAATAGTGATAGTGAAGGTGTGATACGAGGATATAAGAGATGTGAATAGCCAAGGGCAGAAGAAGAGATATCACAACTGTTTAGCACACATTTGGTAAATGGATCGGCTTCAATTGTCTTTAACGAGTTGTAGTGTGGTGCTAAGAATAGCCAGGCTTGCTGAATATGTCGACTACGATTTCGGCGAAACGTTTGGGAATGTACCACGTCCACGGTCCGACTTTGCAAATGATGATGCATACAATGGACTCCGGACTAGGTGAGTTCCTCTAAGTCTTCCTACCAATATGACCAAGCTGCGAAAACAAGGCCAAACGACTTTCATACAACGAAAATAGACTGCGACCACACAAAATTCCACACCATTTTGGTCTTCATATCTTCGATCATATATATTATATATTATGTATTAGCCTGGTATCGGAATTTTGTTGTAATGGATATATGGAAATGTTTTTCAGACGCCTTTCTTCTAGCTCCTTTACACAAGTATCCTGCGTATCTAGTATACTGAGTGTCTTTGTTCTAATCGGATATGACAGATCTAGTCATCATCAATTTACTTTGAAAAATATTTTCCACTGGTCAGCATTCACTATCAAGTATTTTCACGTTTTCTGGCGAAGGTAAAAATAGAGTGAACTATTTGGTTTTATCAATTTACCAAATTCTTGAAGAGTCGAAAATAAAATATTGGCTTTGGTAAATTTCTTAATAAAGCCTTGGAAAACTTTTTAAAAGTTCTCAGAATAAATCTCTAAGACTATCTATATTAATGAGATGTATTCACCCTATTTC